GTCGGAGCGTGAAATGGAAAGGCAGCAGGGGAGCTGATGTGAAATTTGCTCCTTCCCCAGGACTCATCTTTCTTTCCAGGCACCAGGCCATTCGTTAGCAATCCACTTGCCGGTTCCTTCTAGGCCCAGGCTCGAGGTTAGAGCCAGGTTGGGCGGGTAGGATTCTGCTCTCACTAACTCCGGGATTTCTGGCAGCGTAAGTGAGAAGAGAATTGGGCCCGAAGGAAACCAATGGCAAAGGTCCTGGTTTGGAAACATATCGTTTCATGCCTAGAGAAAGTTTATCTGGAATGGGGGAACTGGGCCAATTTTTTAGCTAACACAAATCTTTTTTTTCCCTGCGAAAGTCAGTGGATCTTCGTCGATTTACACGCGACTGACGATTTCGCCCGGTCTTGGCCGCCGAGCGGAGGAATAGATTTAACTCGGTCATCTGCTGTGGTTCTCATGCGTTAACTGTAACACCGGCAGGTACAGCAGAGTGGTGGGGAAGTGGGTTTCGTCTCTGTGAAATTCAAGAGGCCTGTTGCTTTAAAAAAAAAAATAGATGGCCAACTTAAAAAAAGGCGTCTTCCCTTTTTGTGGATCAATGAACATGATTTATGGGGGCGATTTTCAGAAGTGGAAATTGAGTGTCTAGCTGCTGGTCGCACCTGTGATCACCCTTTCCTTTGGCCTCTGCTGTTCGGAGCCGTTTGATCTACACCAGCTGAAGATCTGATTCCTTTTAAACGACTTTAGCTGCAACAATCGTTTTTCACCCCGCTGCACGGCAGTCTGATTTCCAGGGCTGGTTGGGAACGGGACTTTCTGTTTTGTGGGCAATTCTGACACCTGGGGGAAAGCAGAGCGGGGAGGGGGGAGCCTGTTCAGCGTCTGAACCAAAAGCTGAAATTTTGAAATGTTCCACAAAACACAAATTCTGAAAAATGTCAATTCCAGGCCCAGCTGTATGATTCGTTTTGAAAATATTGAAACTTTTGATTTTTGATAAGGGTAAAACGTTCCACATTGACGTGATTGTTTTGATTCATTTTGTTTGGACTTTGGTATTTATGTTCAGTCTTAAAAATATGTTCTGGAGATTACATCTTAAATATATACATATTCTATATGTTACTTTAGATCTTATCTATATATAAAATTTTAGAGCTTAACTATATTTATTTTTATATATAATCAGATCTTGAGGGGGCCACTTAGGGATCTGGAGCAAAATCAGTACGTGGTCCTGCTAGTGAAGGCAGGGGGCTGGACTCAATGACCTTTCAAGGTCCCTTCCAGTTCTAGGAGATAGATATACCTCCATAGAAAAGAAAAGAAAAAAAAAAGAGAAGTTATTTATCTTGGGGGGGGAGGGATAGCTCAGTGGTTTGAGCATTGCCCTGCTAAACCCAGGGTTGTGAGTTCAATCCTTAAGGGGGGCCACTTAGGAATCTGGGGCAAAAATTTGTCTGGGGATTGGTCCTGCTTTGAGCAGGGGGTTAGCCTAGATGATCTCCTGAGGTCCCTTCCAACCCTGATATTCTATGATATTAGAGCTTAAATGTATATTTTCTTTATGGTCTATAGATTATATTTAATATTATATGTTAAATACACCTCTACCCCAATATAACGCTGTCCTCGGGAGCCAATAAATCTTACCGTGGTATAGGTGAAACCGTGTTATATCAAACTTGCTTTGATCCGCCGGAGTGCGCAGCCCCCCCGGAGCACTGCTTTACCGTGTTATATCCGAATTCGTGTTATATCAGGTCGCATTATATCGGGGTAGAGGTGTATGTTATATTTATTATATTTTATATATTTTTAAAACAAACAGAAGACTGAAAGGGGACACGATCACAAAGTGCAAGTACATGAAAGGTTGTTACAAGGAAGAGGGAGAAAAATTATTCTTGTTAATCCCTGAGAATAGGACAAGAAGCTTTTGGGCTTAAATTGCAGCAAGGGTGGTTTAGGTTGGACATTTGGAAAAACTTCCTGTCAGGGTGGTTAAGCACTGGAATAAATTGCCTAGAGAAGTTGTGGAATCTCCATCATTGGGGATTTTTAAGAGCAGGTTGGACAAACAGCTGTCAGGGATGGTCTAGATAATATTTAGTCCTGTCATGAGTGCAGGGGACTGTATTAGATGACTTCCTGAGGTCCCTTCCAGTCCTACGATTGTATGATTCTATGAATAATACAGTATCATATAAACATAATAATATAATATTAAAGCTAAAACAAAATGCACCAAAATAATAAACTCAGAACATTTCAACTTTAGCAGAACATAATGAGAAAGTTGAAACAATTCACTTGGGCATCTCCCTGTCTAAAATTTCCTTGAAATTGACACATTCCCCCACAATAATTTTGATTTCCACAAAACTGCAATTTCCAAGAGAAAACGGATCTGGTGGAAAATATTTGTGACCCTTTCTAACGGCAAGTTTGTGTTGTTCTGGTAACACAAGTGAAGACTCACGCGGGTGTTTCATTTTTTGAAGTATCCATTTTTTAATGTAATTTTACCACGTAAACAAATAAAGAGATTTCAGTGGCGCTACTCAGGAAATCCATCCTTTCCTCACAGAAGGAGCACTGATGGTTTGAGGAGGGAGCGTTATATTTTTCCTACGTAGCAAAGAGCTTGAATCTGTGCTTTGGGGGCACAATTGGAGTTCATCTTTTTACTCCGGAGCTGTGACTTGTGCTCGCATCGGAGCGAAAAATATATTTAATTCCCCCGCCTCACACAATTCCTGCGATTGTAAGTGGGACTTGCCATGAAAACAGGTGCAAAAAAAGGTCAGAACTAATGCGGTGGTTGAGTGGTGGGCGTTTTTTGTAAAATCCAAGATGCCTATTGCTAAAAAAACTGTGGCACATTTCAAAAATTCTCTTGCAGTTTGTGCGGTCTGGGCTGCTGCCTTACCGCGCGCTGATGTTTTAGAAGGAGTTTACTGATTTGTCTTCATTCTCCACAGCTGAGGGTCTGGTCCTGTAGACTAGAAAAACAAACACAGGTACATTTAACTTTGAATTCTGAAATGGGACAGCAAATCCCAAGAGAATTCAGACAGAAGCATCTTTGCTGAATGAATCCCTGTCCTAAAAACTGATCGCAAACTTGGGCGCGGTATTTCAAAGCATCTGTTTGGTTAGTTGGTTTTTTTAGAAGCACGAGTTTGGGGATTTAGGTATTTTTGAAATCCCCCTGCAAATAAAAACCTCGCCTTCCCGTTTTCAATCCCTGAATGTTAGCCAGACTCTGAGATGTTGGGGTAGTTTTTAACAGAAGGCCGTCCCGGTTTCCTTTTGCTTGATTTCTATATACAAGGCAAGTATCGGGGGTAGCCGTGTTAGTCTGTATCCACAAAAACAACAAGGAGTCTGGTGGCACTTTAAAGACTAACAGATTTATTTGGGCATAAGCTTCCGTGGGTAAAAAACCTCACTTCTTCAGATGCATACAAGGCTCTGTCATGTTATTTGAAAAATATCTCCCTGCCTACAGGAGGTTCTTCTTAACAGCCTTCAGTGATGGCAGATGGTGAAACAGAAGGAAAATCTGGGGTGGTGATGGGGGGAGGTGAAGGTTACGGGAGGAGCGGAAAATCGAATTTGGAAAGTTCCGATCATTAGGGAGGAATCAGAGGGAAAGGGAGGGGTTTTTCTAGAGTGGTTGTGTTTTTTTTTTTAAAGGAGAAGGGTTTTAAGAGAAGAAGACAAGACAAGACAAATGAAAGATGAAGGGGGAAATTCTAAGTGAGCGAAGAAAAGTTTAAATAAACTGAAAGAGGCCTTTTCAGGTTGTAAAAGAAACTTCACCAGGGCCTGGTTCCCAGCGAGTGGAAATCCAAGGAAGCAACATTTGTTGATACGGTGACACCTTCATCAGACGGTGCAGTTCTGGTTGAGTCCGGGTGGATTTTTGAGAAAGATAGCAGGGCAATATTTTCAAAAGCACTTCAGTTTCTTTGGAGCCTTCGGTCCCGCCGAAAGTCAGAGGGACCAATTTTCAAAAATGTTTAGGAGACTTTGGAAAATTTGAATCCCAGCTTTGATTTTAAACTCCCCCCACGCGTGTTTTGACAGGGTTGTTTCTGGTCTGGGCTGGGGTTTGAGAGAGAAGAATCAGAGCCCCCCTCCCTCTGCGTCTTTGATGCTCTCTGTCTGGCCCCTACCTCTCTGGACAGTGAAAATAATTGAGTCGGTTTCACCTGGGCATCTTGTCAATTTCACACACACACACACACACACACACACACACACACACACACACACACACACACACACACACATACGCCCCCTTTGCTTTGGTCAGTTTCCCTCTCTGGGTTTTCCAGGCTAGTTCTCCCCTGGCCTACAGCCGGAGAAGGTTTCTTATTTCAGGGAAATAATGTCCCTTGGTTTATTAATCGCTCTGATGGCTACGTGGCCCCGGATCCTGACAGGGCAAACTCAGAGCTCAGCACGGGAGTTCCTGGGAGTAGGCCTCTGCCGTGGGCCCGATCAGATGTGCGTGATTCTCGCGCCTTCATCTGAAGCCGTGACGGGCTCCGCCTGCGGCTCGCGAGCTGCCAGTGGCTCTTTCACGTGTCTCTTTGCAGCACATGAGATTAAAACACTGTGTGATTTAGTTATTAACCGATCTATGTTATTAACCCCTCTGGATGCTTTTACCGTGTTCTTAACCAGCGAAGTGATCAACTTGCGCTAAGTTAGTAACTCATTTGCTGCGCGAATTCTAGATCTCTCTGTATAACCTTAAACATTTCCCCGTCAGGCTGTTTGCACCTGAATAGTCCTGTAGTAAATGAAACAATGAATTCACACTGTGTGGCTCTTTTGGGTAATGCTGATCACTGATTCGCCTCCTGAGCTCGAGGTCTGAGAGTCACCGATAAGAAGCATCCGCTCTGGCCATGGTCAGGGACAGGACAATGGGCTCGACACGCCTTGGGTCTGATCCGCACTCAGGTCTGACCCACGCTGCCTGTTTCTAGGATCGCCCTGGTGTAGACCGGCTGGGGATCGGGTCCCATTGACTCCAGTGGAGCTATGGCTGATTGACACCGGCTGGGAATCTCACCCAGAAGTAGCCGGCTGCTGATCTGGCGGGTCACAGGGTCGGGCCCCTCGTCCCCACATGCCTCCCGGCGGCAGAGCTGACAGCGCTGGTGAAGAACGTGTGGATCAGAGACATTAGCAGCAGAGACAGGACGCTGAGCAGCCGATCTCACTGCGGAGAAGTGAGGGGGACTCCAGATTTTGCGGTAGGTGTCTGTCTTTGGCTGCCCCCCGGGAGGGGCGGAGGGGAATCTGATCATGAGCTGTGGTAATATCCGTCGGTTACGTAGCTGTGTTAGCGCAGGGTCTAGGAGGCCTGGCCAAGATCGGGGCGGCCTGGATCCCCGGGCACCTGGCTCAAGCATTTGACAGGGCCACGGCGTGGCCCTTTCTGCCCTCGCTTGGCCAGCGCTGGCTCTGAGCTGCGCGGGGAAAGTTTCAGGATAGGCAGGTACTTCAGGTGTTTGTCTCGGGTGGGTGGGTTTCCTCCTGGTTTAAAAGAAAGCCCTCCAAAAAGGTTTGGGGGGAGGCTTGTTTTGTTTTTGCTTGGGTGGTGTTTTTGGTGTGCTGGGTGGTTGTTGTGTGTAGGTTTCTGTGTGTACAGTTGGTTTTGCCTGTGTGGGGGTGTGTTTTTGCTTGGCTGTAGTTTTTTTTTGGGGGGGGGGGTGTTGGTTTTAACTGTCTGCTTGTTTTTTTCTGTGTGGGGGTGTTTGTCCTGTGTAAGTTTGTGTGTGCTGTATGTGTGGTGTGTACTTTTTGGGGGGTGTGGGTATGTGTGTGTGTTGCTTTTTGCTGTCTAGTTGCTCGGGGAGGGTTGTCACGTGTAGGTTTGCGAGGGGCTGTATGGTTCTTTTTGCTTGTGTGTAGTTTTTGGTGGGTGGGTATGTATGTGTCTTGTTTTGCTGTGTGGTTATTTTGGGGCGTGGGTGGGTGGGTGTGGTGGGTATAGTTTTGGGTGGAGGGGTTGCTCTGTGTGGGTGGTTTTTGGAGGTGTGTGGTTGGGTTGGGGGGTGTATGGTGGTTATTTGTGGCGTGGTTGCGTAGGGTGATGAGTTGGTGTTTGTAGTTTGTGTGTCAGGTCGTTTTTGGTACGGGTGGAGTTGCTGTTGAGTTGTGTGAATTTGGGGGGGGTGATTTCTTTGCTGTGCATTTGTTTTTGATACGTAGCTGTGTGCATGTGTTGGCTTAGGGGTTGTGTGGTTGTTCTCACTGCACGTAGGCTTGGCGTCTGTGTTCGGTGGGCGTGTGATGGATGCGAGTGTGAATTCGGGGGGGTGTATATGTGTGATTGTGTACCCAGACCCGTGTGCTTGGCACATCTGTGCATTAAATTTGCCAAGCGGCATTAGTGCCTTTTGGTGTCCTTGGTTTTTGCATCTGTGCGTGTGTGTTGATTTGCGTCCTTCCGGAGCTGTGAGATGCCACAACCTCACCCGTGTCTCCGGGCCCGTCCTTTTCTTCCACCCCTCGGGAAAGACAGTCTGGACTGGAAAGATTTATTGAGCAGCTAATCTAACGAGGGCAGCTCCCCTGTGCGGTTCGTTAGTGCAGAGACAACGTGTTGCTGCTGGTCATTTATTGAGATGGGGGCTTGGAGAAAATGCCACCGCTAAACAGAAGAGCAAAAACCCCGTGAGTTCCGGATCCGGAGCCCTCAACTGACATGTTCTCTGTCCCGTTCCAGCACGCTGGCTTCGGAGATTCAGACAAAAATACAGGAGTGTTTCAGGGTCTCGTTTACAGAGCTGTATAAACAAGTCACTGTCTGTATGAAATGTTAGTTTGCACTGACTTCGCTAGGGCTTTTTCTGTCGCCTGTTGTAAAACTAGGCAAATACCTGGATGAGTTGATGTAGCCGCTGGCAGATCTCCCCGTGCCCCCAGGGACAGGGCCGCCCAGAGGATTCAGGGGGCCTGGGGCAAAGCAATTTCGGGGGGCCCTTCCATTTAAAAGAAAAAATGCAATACTCTAGTAACATGTATTTGGAAATGTAAAAAATAACCAGTGAAATACATTCAAAACTTAATTTTTAATCATTTGAAAATACACAAAATACATTATTTAAAAACATTAAAAGCTGTAATGGTATGTCTACATTTGCAATTACATAATGGGCTGTCGCTGGGTGATGGTGATGGTTGGTGCCAATGGGCTGTCGCTGCCCGGGGCTGGGTGGGGAGCTGGGTGCCCGGCTCAGAGGGGCTGGGCTCGGAGCTGGGGGTCAGGGCTATGGGGGGATGGGGTCGGAGGGGAGGGTGCCCGGCTCAGAGGGGCTGGGCTCGGAGCTGGGGGTCAGAGCTGCGGGGGGATGAGGTTGGGGGTGCCCGGCTCAGAGGGGCTGGGCTCAGAGCTGGGGATCAGGGCTGTGGGGGGATGAGGTTGGGGGTGCCCGGCTCAGAGGGGCTGGGCTCAGAGCTGGGGATCAGGGCT